CTTTAATTAAAAGCCTTCTTTTTAAGAACCTGATTGATTTTTCCTTCTTTTAAGATCCAAGGGGATTGGATCTGGACTCACCAGGTATTGGTGGGGGGAAAGGGAAGGGGGAGACTGATTAATTCCTCCTTGTTTTAAGATCCAAGGGGATTGGATCGGTGTTCACCAGGGAATTGGTGGAGGAGTCTCTCAAGGCTACCCAGGGAGGGAAAGGTTTCAGGGGGAAGACAGAGTTTCCCAAATAACTCATAAATCATTTGGGTGGTGGCAGCAAAAGCAGATCTAAGCTGGTAGTTACGTTTAGAGGTTTTCATGCAGGTCCCCACCTCTGGACCCTAAAATTCAGAGTGGGGAAGGAATCTTGACACGTCCATCGCTTTTCCCGTATCCACAGAGCCAGTTATCTCAGCATAGAAGGCAATCAGCTTGGTCAGGCATGACTTGCCCTTGGGGAATCCATGTTGACTGTTCCTGGTCACCTTCCTCTCCTCCAAGTGCTTCAGAATTGATTCCTTGAGGACCTGCTCCACGATTTTGCCAGGGACTGAGTTCAGGCTGACCGGTCTATAATTCCCTGGGTTCTCTTTCTTCCCTTTTTTAAATATGGGCATTATTATTTGCCTTTTTCCAGTCATCTGGGACCTCCCCCGATCACCACAAATTTTCAAAGATAATGGTCAATGGCTCTGCAATCACATCAGCCAATTCCCTCAGCACCCTTGGAAGCATTAGATCCGGCCCCATGGACTTGTGCACGTCCAGCTTTTCTAACTAGTCCAGAACTTGTTCTTTCACCACTGAGGGCTGCTCACCTCCTCTCCATACTGTGCTGCCCACTGCAGCAGGCTGGGAGCTGACCTTGTCTGTGAAGACTGAGGCAAAAAAGCATTGAGTACTTCAGCTTTTCCCCCATCCTTTGTCTCTAGGTTGCCTCCCCCATTCAGTAAGGGGCCCACACTTTCCCTGACCACCTTCTTGTTGCTAACATACCTGTAGAAACCCTTCTTGTTACCCTTCACATCCCTTGCTAGCTGCAACTCCAGTTGTGCTTTGGCCTTCCTGATTACACCCCTGC